AAAAGTTTTTTTTTCTAAAAATTTTCAATAAAAAATAAAAATAAAAAAAGTCAAATGTTTCTTTGTGGACTTACCCTGAGCATCACTTCTTTGCCCAACAAGTCGTACAGAGACGCTCCTTTCGAAGTGATTTCTGAAGCGAGCTGCCTGGCTGTCTTCAAATCGCTGATCTAAACGGACATTGGGAGAAATCAGAGTTTGCCTTTCCAAAAAGGGGTTAATAGGGAGGAGTGGAGAGGGAATGCTTCTAACTAAAGCCGTATACTGAGGGTGGCAGTCTTTTTGCAAGCGCCTGTCCTCCAAGTAGATTAATAACCGCAATCATTTGTGCAGGTGGGCTTCAATGGACCTGAATAATTTATTAGTTAGCGAGCAGTAAGCTGGGCGTTAACGTTACTTTCGCTGACCTTTTCAATTTTGAACTGCACAAAATTCCAAGCAGGAATGTGCTCCTGGGCTGGATCAGGGGTGGGATTGAAACATTTTAGCGACCGGTTCTCTGCCCGGTTGCTGGGTGGGCATGGCCTGGTCAGTTTCTTGCACCATGGAAGTAGAGGGGGGGGGCGTTTTCACCCTCCCCACATTCTGGAGGCTTTCCTTGATCCTCTGGGAGGGCAAAAACGGCCTCCCCTGGCCTCCGGAGGACAGAAATGAGCCAGTTTCTGGACTTCTGGTACTTCCAGTAGGCCCGTTTTACACCCTCCCAGAGCCTCTGTGCGGGTCATGCACTTACCTGGCATCCAAAATGGGCTGCGTGGAGACTCCTGGATGGGGAGGGGAGGGTGTGTGGGGTCAGCTGGTCCTTGTAACTACCGGTTCAGTGAACCCAGGGGTGAAATTCAGCAGGTTCTGACAGGTTCTGGAGAACTGGTAGCGGAAAGTTTGAGTAGTTCATAGAACCGGCAAATACCACTTCTGGCTGGCCCCAAAGTGGGGAGGGAATGGAGATTTTGCAGTATCTTTCCCCTGCCACGCCCACCAAGCCATGCCCACAGAACCGGTAGTAAAAAAAATGGATTTCACCACTGGCCGAACCAGATTAAAATTAACATCCGATTTGCCCGAACCTGCCTGAACCAGCTGAATCCCACCCTTGACCCCATCCCTTTCTTACCAAAGGTCACCAAATGTTATTTGCCCTACATAACACCATTCACAGAAAACACAATTGACCTTCTCAGTGAGGAAAGGATGCTTGCAGACATTCAGGCCAATTCTCACAACTTTCCCAGATGTTTCCACCAACCAGGTCACTTTCTTCTTGTAGAGGTCAACATACATCTACCTCATATACACATCTTTGGATATGCCTGCTGTTTTTCCAAGCCAAGGAGACTTCCAACCAACCAACCAACCAACCAACCAACCAACCAACCAACCAACCAACTCACTCCCAGAATTCTCAGCAATATTCACACTAGACTAAGGAATTCTAGGAGTTGTCCCCCACCCTGGAGGGCAACCAGGTGGAGGAAGGCTGAACATACCAAACCACCATGTTTCTCCAAAAATAAGACCCAACTGGAAAATAAACTCTAGCATGCTTGTAATATAAGCCCTACTCCAAAAATAAGCCCCAGTTAATTTTGTCACGCAAATGCATTTAGTACCATATTTTCCCCAAAATAAGCCCTAACTGGAAAATAAGCCCTAAGGCCTCTTTTGGAGCAAAAAATAATATATCGTATTTTCAGACTATAAGACACACTGGAGTATAAGACGCACCATGAATTTCAAGAGGTACATTTAAAAAAAGTTTTTGCACTCTGCAGGCCTCCCAAACCCTCTGCACGCCTCTTTTTTTCAAAAACAAGGGGGGGCATGCAGAGCTTTGGGAGGCTTGTAGAGTGATCCTGGGGGCTGGGGGAGGGGCCAAAACAAGCAAAAATAGCCTGTTTCTTGCTCATTTTTGCCCTCCCCAGCCCCCAGGAGCACTCTACAGGCCTTCCAAACCCTCTGCACATCCATTTTTGCAAAGGGGGCGGGGTTTTGGTAGGCCAAAAATGCTGTATTCAGTGTATAAGACGCACCCAGATTTTCACCCTCTTTTTTGGGGGGAAAGGTGTGTCTTATACTTTGAAAAATATAGTAAGACCTGGTCTTATTTCAAATAAGGGAAACATGATATATAATACAATGCTTTTTTTTCAGATTTGGCTTATTGTGGGTATATAGTACTATTTATGATGTAGCCTGATTCCAAACTCAAGCAATCATGATTTAGTCAATAACCTATGTTTAGAACAAAGCATAAACCCAGGTCAGTATGTTTACTGGATTTGGGCAGTAGCTCTGCTAGCAGAATCTTCCCCCATCCTTGCAGTTCCACAATTGCATTCAGAGCTGTTTTATTCCAAATGAGGGGGGAAATCAGCCTTTTAAAACAAAAACAGTGTCTTCTTTAAACAAAGTTTGTGTGAACTTGTGGTTAGGTGGGTAGAGATGCAGGATATGTGTACTTCAATGATTATACATAGGGCAAGACCCAATCCATTTTAAAAAGAACTTTTCATATTTTTTGGAGTAAAAGACACGCCGAAGTATAAGACGCACCTAGCTTTTGGGGAGGAAAACAAGGGGGGAAAAAATCTGTCTCCGCCTCCCAGCAATTTGCCTCCTTGCAACAAACAGCAAACAGTACAGAAGATATACACTGTTTGTGGTGTTACATTTCAGACTATTCTTGTACAGATGCTGTTAAAATTGATGGGGCTTTCTGGAAGTATACGTTATTCTCTGCTATTTAAAAGCACTGGGCCTCTTCAGATTAAGCATTTATTTTAAAAAGCTACTTCATTTTGTTAGGATGTCTAGAACAACAATAAAGCAGACTTTAAAAAATAAGTCTAATAATTTGAACATTCTATAGGCATTTATAGTTACTGACTTATCTCCTTGCAGCAAACAGCCTGATTAGCACAAGAAAAAAAAAATCTCTCTCTGCCTCCCAGCAATTTGCCTCCTGGAGCAAACAGCAAGTTTCACTTTCAATTTCAG